ATGTGGACCTCTCTAAGATTTGTTCATTTTGTAATGATATCTTTAATTCTCTAATTTTGGTGAATATTTTTGTCATTTTTGGTAAAAAGTGATATTTTCAACTTCTTGTTAAAAACCGCAAGTCCAATTGCTTTGATATTACATATATATGCACTACATGTGGACCACTCTCAAATTTGTTCATTTCATGATGATATCTTCAATTCTCTAATTTTGGTGAATATTTTTGTCATTTTTAGTAAAAAGTGATATTTTCGACTTCTTGTTAAAAACCACAATCATTTATGGTGAAAAATGATATTTTTGAATTCTTGTTGAAAACAGCAAGTCCCATAAGCATTGATACTATGCATATTGTTCATTTTCTAATGATATCTTCTGTTCTTTAATTGAAATGTGCATTGCTAACAGCGGAGCTATCTCAACCGAGAGGCTGCTTGTTTCTATTTTAAAATATCTATCACAAATCATTTTCTCCATTTGTCCATGGTCACTTTTTGTGTGCAGTTGAATATTCTGAGTAGCATAATAATATGCTAACTGATGTCTAAAAAGTATGAATTATTACATTAATTTGTCAAATTTCCAGACCTGGCCTATATTTTGTTACTATACAAGAACATAGTTTGCAAAATATTTTAGAGCTTTTTAAAATTTCTTCATTTGATACGCCTTACTTAAGATCACAATTTTTTTTTATTCTTTTAGTTGCATATGCACTTACATAAATTACAGAGGTGTTTCTATGGTCAAAATTAGTAATATTTAAATGATTCATTATGCAACAAATGCAATTGTTGGGTTACATGGACTTGTAATGAAGGTATTTTTAAAATAGAACAAATATGGAAAATCATGTTCAAATGATTCAATATTTTTTCAGAAAAAATATGAATGAATCTCAAATTTACCAACATTGACAAAATCTTATGGTAATTGTATTATCTTTCAGAGTACCTGAATTGAGAATTTTATTGGTGAATACCAGAATACCAAGAATTACAAAGATTTTAGTTGCGAATGTGAAAAAAAAACTGGAGAAGGTGAGTATTTATTGAATGTAAAACCATTTTCTTTCCCAGTGTATGATGGGATACTGCACAGAGGCATAGCTATATTCCTTGCTTGTGAAGCGATTTTGTATGGCTTACTGGTGGCCATTTTGTTTTCTTCATTTTGTTTATGGTAAAGCCATAGGTGGTGTTGTTTTGTCTGACTTGGTCAAATTTTGCACAGTTTGTATACAGGTACTTTAGTGTAGGTTATTTTGTGATTAAATAAAATTTGTTGAATTGACAGCCATTTTGCATATTGCAATTTTGCATATTTTTTTTCAAAATTGCCAACTGGCGGCCATTTTGTTTTCTCATAAGTAAAACCATAGGTTGTGTTCTTTTGTCTGACTTGGTCAAATTGATGGTCATTTTGTCTAAAACCCTAAAATCACAGTCTGTAAATGTGCATGTCCAGAATAAACAGGGCTTTGTATCAGGATTCAGGATCATACTTATTGGGTTACATTTGTATATATCATTTTAACAAATGTTTTTCTGAGATGGAAGAAATAATTTTGTACAAAGGGAGGTACATCTGAGACTGCGACAGTCTGTGGAGAAGTTGCATCTCACTATCCTCAAAAGAAATTCAGGTGCTGCCTCCTTGTCAGTCATTACAGGAATGATGATCGATTGTGGATCGTGTCCTGGAATTTGTTT